ATAGCATCTGTTACTTAACGTTCTCAAAGTATTATTCTTAAAATATATTCCTTGCTTATGCATTTTGAGATTAGATGATGCTCTGTCTGAAAAAGAATAGTTTTCGCTTAGTAAAATTGGTGTTGTTAGTATAATTGTCATAACTTAGCTACAATTCTTAAGAAACGGGAACATTCTTGTCGCCGAAGATAGCAATCCAAATCCAAACCAAGTGATTTTAACTTGGGCCACACAGTATTATGTATGTTAATGCGAAGTATAAATGAAACAACTCAGATGAAAATTCCATTTTAAAACTTTTTATTATTCCCCAAATATCAACTAATTTTAAACGAGAAAAATTGTGATTTTTATAATAAGAAATGGGAGTCTATGGTAAAGAAACTAGTAAAAACTGGAACTGATCAATACCTACTAGCAATTAAGAATAAATTCAGAAGTCTAATCAGATATCAGAAATATATTTACTACGTCTTGTTTAAGGACTGTCATTTTGTTTGAACACAAAGAATTAAGAAAGAATTAAGATACGAATAAAATACCTACGTAAATTTTTCAAAAAATTACAGTATGTAGAGTAAAGGTTAGTTAAGTTTAAAACACAACTGGTGTATTATCAAGAAAAATGAGATTTGCTGACATGTTTGGTGATCATGTCAGCAAAATAACAGGTTTTAACGAAACCACGAGAGGCTAAAGAGTTAGACGTTAATGTCAGGTCCATTAGTCGCACTATGCATCGTATAAACTTAATGTACAAGTGCAATCGCTGGGTGCCGCATCAGCTGATTCAAGCAGATAAGGACAGACATGTTCGGGCTTGCATTAATCTGGTCGAAAATAAACACAAGAACAAAATTCTGGACCGAATCGTCACTTGTAATGAAAAGTGGATTTACTTCAACAACACTGGGTTGGTCCGCATCTGGTGAGGCAGCGTCGCAAAGCGCAGTTTGACAACCAAAAAGATCATGATTTGTATCTCGTAGGATTGCTTTTGTAATAATCCACAAAGAGTATATGGAAAAAAGTGAAACACTCGATAGTAAGGTGTACAGCGAAATGCTAGACCGTGTTGATACTGCTCTCAAGGAAAAGGTTGAATTGCGTTCAGGTGCAAAAAGGTAATGTTTCATCAAGATACTGCAAGAGCTCATATACTGCATTCATCAGCTGGACAGTGTACAAACTTCAATAGGATCTTTTGCCACACCCACCATATAGCGCCGTCATTACTCCTTCGGACCTCTTTCTTTTTTCACACCAGAAGCTACAAATCTGCTGGTGCTATCTTCCATTCTGCCAGGACGCCCGAAATGAGATCAATCGGGGCTACCAAGTTTCTGAGCCAAAAGTTTTGAAAAACTAACAAAACGTTGACAGAAAAACATAGATTTGAGCGGTGATTACTACCCGCACAAAAGGTATAACTTTCATATTTTTCTCTAAATTCATTCTGAATGGTTTTTGGCGGAAAACTTGGTAAGGAAATGCACCAGCAAAATGTATTTTTCATAATAAGCAAACGTACGTTACAAAGACCATGTCTGAAAACCGAAAAATGTGATTCTTATCGAAATTCATAATGAAAAATGAATTAAATATAAAATGCTATCTCCTAAAACTCTCGCCATGAAACTCTTGCCAAACAATTCACATCATGTCATTCGCGCATGCGCATTGCTTCGAAAAAGAACTATTATAGACCTAGTAATGGACGATGTAATGCAAGATGTAACCTCCAATAATTTCTCTTGTGTGTATTGTGTATATAATTAGTGATGTGTGTAATGAATTAAGTAATGAAATTAGTTTTTATTATAGAAGTGTCCTTTTTTATGATGAGTAGGTCCTTGGATTGTCTTCATTTAAAGTAAAATATTCCCGGTTTCCTTGGATTAGAAGAAGAAAGAAGACCTTCTGAAAAGGCAAGATTTTTACCATTATTCATGAAATCTTAGCCATCGATAAGTTTTATTCGTGATATTTTCATCACTAACCATCTATTAGGAGATAAGAAGCTAGAAAACGTTACCGAAAATACAATTTTTTGAGACTTTTGACATCAGTCCTTCTATCCAGATATCTAAATGTAATAAATATTTAGCAAATAAAATGTAAGCAAAACTTTAATATAATTTCTAAATAGTAATTGTTTTATAAAGTAATCTTATAAACGACTGAGAAAAAGAATTAGGATTTCTAAAATGTTTTTATGAAGTATATTTTTTAATGCTAATAACAAATTACAGATTGAAAGGAATTTTTAAATTAATTTATGTAATAAAACATTTTTGAAATGATGCATTGCATACTTGAATTTTGTTTGTAATTCACTGGGATTTTTAATATAATGCGTTTGTCTCATAATATCATAATTATCAAATTATTCTCTTTCAGATTTAATGATATGCTACAGTTAAATTTAGTACGTTAACTATTTCAGCTTGAAAAAGGTAATTTAATTAATAAACATATTTAGTAGTTCCATAAATCGAGACAAATCCTTATTTTAAAATTTTACGAGAATTATACGAAGATGATATCTCCTAGAAATTATAGTTAGGGGGAAAACGCTTAATGGTGTTTGTCACAAATATTGATAAAATTCTAGCAAGATTACTGATTAATATGTTATCCCCAGGGATTCAGGCAGCTAAACTGGAATTTAAAAATTTGAAACTATTGTACTATAAATTGTAGTATAAAACGTTCCTAATTTCATAATGAAAATTAAATTTAATTCCCAATATCTGCATACATTCTTCGGAAGAATAAATGTTGTGCAGGATTACCGAAAGCTTATGTTTAAACATTACATATATTTGTTGCCATTAAAACGTTCTATTAAATTATGAAGAAATGCCTAATAGAAGCTCCATTATACATAGCGATGCAGGCAAGAAAGAAATTATTATGGCTGTCCATTAGCGTTTACCCAAATTCCTTTTGTACCTTTTACATTTGATGCTGCTAATCCTTTTCCTACTATTTTTATGATAAATAATGGTTAAGAAAAATAAATGAAAATTCTTTGCTAAAATTCATCCCCTTCTTTGTTTAATTACCTAGTAGCTACATACAATTACAAATAAAACTTACAGAAAAAAGCATACCCTAATGTAAAAAAAGTGTATAATGGAAGGGCCATACGAAACAAAAAAAGGTTTTGAAATATTGCGTTCAAAATTATTCTTTCATCAGCAGTATTGAGGGTCTAGGTATTGATGAAAGTAAGAATAAAACATTAGTAACCCATTCCATTACTAAAATTTCAGATATCATGATACATTCTCGTCTAAAGGAAAAGGAATGAAAAACAATGGATGACATTTTTTCTGAACATACGCACAACCTTCTTGGGTGACCTCATTCAAATGACTATGCAAAATTTAAAAGTTTTCATTTATTCAAAACTAAATTTTTTACTGGATTTATTTCTTTAAATATCGGTCGTAGATATATATTTCCTATTGAACAATTCTTAAAATAACTTGGATGGTTTTATTAAAACAATTACTATATGTGGAAAATATCTTGAAAGGTAAAACTCTTAATATTATATATAGTTCCCACGGAATAATTGAGTCCAATGTAAATGGAATTTTATTATGATTTAATGAGTTAAAAAAGCAACAGCCCCTTATTTCATGCGCAGATCTTGCACAGATATTCCATAAAGAATTTATTGGCAGACTCTTCTGATTTAAAACCAAGATATTTAGAAAAAAGTAAAAAAGCAGATATAAACGGTTGTTCTTTTGGCAGTTAAAAATTCTGTTTCGAATAAAGTAATTTTTGACATTAAATTTGCAGCAAGCACTTCTGAAAATTTATCAAGTAAATTCTGTTAGCTTTTGCGATTAAACAGTTATGCGTTTATGATTAAAAGCGTAATTAATACTATGCTCATGCTTGCCATACAAAATTAGAACCAAATAATCATATAAAATTACATTTTAATTTTACAGATCTTTTCGCAGAGAAGGCTGAAACGTTTTTATAAGTTTCGCTGTCTTTTTTGAAGAATGTGCGTAATTGGAAGCGTCTATTTAATACAAATAACTGAAGAAAGATAATGTATCTCCACCATTCTTAGCTACTTGTATATAATCATAACTGAATACCTTTATTAAAATGAAACTGCCCAAATTTCAGAAATTTGTTTTCTACGTAAATAATAAATATTTTCTACATGAAGCTGTTACATGCTACATGTTTTGCTCTTTTACATGTATTGATATGCATTTATATATATTTGTATGTATATTATATATATTGTATATAAACATCTGAAATATTACTGTATTTTTACTAAGTAAGTGTAATATATAATTAATTATACCATAATGCATTATGAAGCCTCTTACCAGTATACATTAATATTATCTTGTTTATTCAAGATGTCTTCCAATATGTTAAATAATGCTTGCCAGCTTTTAATTATGCGACCTCAAAGGCAAGAAAATTAATGAACATTTAAAGAAATTTCACAAGAGTTTTTAAAACTCCTATGAAAACATATAGCCAAGTAACTTGGCTATATGTTTTATGTTAGAAAGTGTTAAAATTATCTCTTTTATTTTTTTATAATTGCTTCCTATCGAATGAGAAACGTTTATAGAACATGTAGTTCCAAACATCTTTTGCAATGCTAAAATTAAAAATACAGAATTTTAAAAGTGCATTAAGAGAAAACGCCCATTTACTCGTACATAACAGCTGTAGCATAACAACAAATGTTTATTTACTTTTAAAACATTTCTTGAGAGGAAGAAATGTCCATGAACATGACTTATTTTCCTTTATAATCATTCTATAAAATTCTGAAAATGTATGAAGTCTCTGAAAGGCAAGTCTAAAATGCAGAGCAGAGGCGATAGCAATAATAAAGTGAAATTCATGGTTTTAATAGTAACTTTAAATGTCTGATTCAGAATATTAAGAAACATATAACGAAATATCAAGAAAATGGCCTAATGGAATAGCATGCAACTTACCTGCAAATAAAGCACCAGTTTACACATTAGACTTCCGAAGAACCATGTTTCAGTCACGTCCCACAGGACAGATGGAGGCAGGCAGAAGAGAATCACCAAGAAATCGGCCACAGCAAGATTCACAATGAAATAGTTCGTTACTGTCCGCATTGAATGATTCCTGTAGACAGAGATGCAAACCAGAGCGTTTCCTATCAGCCCAACAAAGAAAACTGTTATATGAAGGGCTATCAAAAGCCATTCATATGTGCTTGGAAATATGTACGCTTCGATCATTTCCATGTAGTCCTCATCCGATACACAATACTCATTAGTGCACATTACACTACTATTTGTGGGACTGGCGTTCCGAAGCCCGGGTCCTTGTTGTTGCTGAAGTGGTTCAGATGGCAGAAATACAGTATTTGGGTTGTAATCCAAATCACTATGCATGGTTAACTAAAATATAAACACAGGTTTCTGGAACGGTTTTTCTCTAGGTATTTATAAAATTTCAACTTCAAATTAATGAACACTTAAAAATATATTTTGGTTTTAAATGTAGAACTTTCTTCAAAGGAATTTCTTCATTAGGATTCTTCCTTTAAAGAAACACCTTGATTACAGAATTGTATGAATATTCTTTAGGGTGCTTCTGTCACAGTATTTTCGGGACCATGAGAGACATATCATTAAATTTTCTTTGAAATCATACGTTTGGTAATTCGTTTCAATATCTATAGGAAATAAAATTCAATTTTCGTAAAGAATAGCTTTATGAAAACTAGTGTAGGTTCTGTTCTAGATCTCCTACATTTCTTGCTGTTAAATCTCGAAGAAATGTCCTCTGAATTTATATCTGAAGCGAGTTAAGAAAATTCTGTTTATGTGGGAGCACGTTTAGAGAAATGTATGAGAGCTTTCAATCATATGAGAATTGTTATTGAATATTCTCTGAAGTAATACATACAGTGCTAATTTCCTACGTTTTTAAGTATTAAAAATTTTATTCGCAAACCTCAGATAATTTTCACCTCTTCCATTGCTTTTTATTTTCCATCATTAAAAATATCTTATTAATTCTCAGAGACGATTATTTTACTTATCTTAATGCATTTCTGAGAGCTCTATAACAAAAATCCTTAATATTCCGCAAAAAATGTTTTTCATCTATTTTTTAATTTTCTGATAAGATGGTTTTACTTCAAAGATTTAAAATCCTCTCTTTTCCTAAAATCAATGATATGAAAATGAACCTCATACGTTGCTTTTGATATTTAATTAATTTTCAGTACCATTGTTTCGTCTTCCTGTTAACTTGAATTCGATATTTTTTCCTTCACAGAGTACCTTTAAACATATCTTGAAAACATTTGAAGAAGGCGCAGGTTGAATAAAAAAATAGAATAGTTTCCTAATTCGCATTCATTTTCTGTTTTCTTTTTAACGGAATGTAAATGTCTTAGTTTTTGAGCTGTAACATCTCATTCGAGACTGTGGGCTGTGGTCAGCATGAAAATATTGATTTTAGTATTTTTTCCCTTTAATACTGTATTTCAGGAAACGATGATAACAGAACTTAAGTTCTAAGATAAAAAGACAGCAGTTGCGCACGTTAATTTTAAATTACTGTAAAATCTCTTTGTCATTTCCATTACATTTATTCTAATATTATTGTTATTCAGAAATGTTGTCTTAGTTCGAAATTGGCTTTAAGTAGAGCTTTGAATAACCCAATGCGAGACTTCTTCACTAAATGCTGAATTCCTAGATATGAAGTTCCATTTGACGGAAGGAATACCTGTAAATAAAAATAGTTAATACATAAATGATTGCTTTACAAATTTTCAATAGATCACACTCACTATTTACATATATGTTTCACAAACGACAATAGTATATATGATATATATATATAAGAAAAAATGTTAATTAATCGTTATAAATTGTCCAATACTTGCGCAAAAGCTGCAAAATAATAAAATAATAATTTATTTACTAGTCGATTATTTAGTATATTATCTCCTTTGATAAAGGTAATTAGAATTATATTGAAATGAAGTAACTTATAAGAATATTTAAAAAATGAAAAAATAAAATTTTAAAATGGAAACATAAAAAATGAACTAAGGATAAATTGAAAATGGGAACTTCTAAAAGGTATAATTAAAATTGAAAATGCAAAAAGATTTAATAAATGCGACTGTGCTTCGTCTTATTCTCTCGTAAGAATTTTTATGCCAGAAAGGTGTAATAAATGCGAAGGTGTTTAGTCTTTTTCACAAGTAAGAATTATTAATTCTTCGTTGAGAAAAAGACGAAACACCTTCGCATTTATTAGTTATTGTTAATTGACCGGAGGTTGGTTTATTCCCCTTGAAAAGTCGACTAATTTCCGATCAATGACGATAATTTCTTGGTTTTTTTATTACATTTTTAATTTTAATTATACCTTCTTAAAAGTTTCCGTTTTCAATTTATTCTTCATTCATTTTTGATATTTCCATTTAAAAATTTTTCTAGGTTCATTTTTTAAATATGCTTATTATGTTAGTTACTTCATTTCAATAGAATTCTAACTACCTTTACCAAAGGAGATAATATACTAAACAATACATTTTGGTACTCTACTTTAGTTCTAAATACCTTCACTTCACGGAACTGTTTGGTCTAACTTAATTTTGGCATCACCATTATTACTTGAGTAAAAGACGAAACACCTTCGTATTTATTAATTATTGTTCATTGAACGGGAGTCGGTTTGTTCCCCTTGAAAAGTAAACTAATTTCCAATCAATAGCAATAATTACTTGCTTTTAATTTAATTTCGTTTTCAAAGGTTGAAATTTTGTTCTTCATGATTTACTTCAAGTCCCCGTAAAACATTTTTAACAATTTACATTCAAGTTACTTTAAAACAATTTTCGGAATTAAACTTCCTACCTATGGGTTCACTCTTTTTAGATACTTCTACTAAAATTAATATTAGGAGATAATATAATCAATATTTCTTTAGTAAATAAATAATTATATATATATATGCACACACACACACACACACACACACACACACATATATATATATATATATATATAAGTGCCTTAAATGTTTTAGAGGAATTTCATAAATATTAAACAGATGAAAATAGACATATAGATATTAACCTCATTTTCCAAGGAATTTTGGTAAACTAAATAAACTATGCATGAATTTAACAGAGCAATTTATCTGTCTTTAAATGCTAAACTTTAACAATTGTATAATAGCATATAACTAAATGAAAACAATTGCAAATAAAAAGGATTTCTATTAATAACTAACTGCGTGTTCCAAATTAGCGTGAGGAATGGACATTAATTACAATTGTCCATTTTGAGCTGGAAAGAGAAGAAAGTAGTATACTGGAAAGTAACACATCATCAAGTTTTAAATTTAAAATAACGCAAAATTCTAATACGAATCCTGCATTTAAAGGCTTAGTTTTTCTGTAAAATCAACGATTATACCTAAAGTTGACTTTTCTCTAACATGACAAGGAGTGAGGAGAATGGATGAAAACGTAGTATTCATCTGTTTGAATACGTTCCAAGCTTTGCGATTATTTTATTGCGTATTCTCAAAACCGAATAAGTTTACAAATTTCAAAGGTACGAGTTTAAAAAAAATCGCGAATAGTCTTAGCATAAAAATTATTAATAGTTTTATACCATTATTTGCTACAAACTATTATTTTATACCTTTACTTGTTATAAGATAGTAAAAGGGGGATCATACCCAAAAGCTTGTAAAAATATCGGTTTGGAATGGAATTAATACTCAAGGTTTCCCCTTTGCGGTAATTTATACGGCTGTATCAAAAGATTCACGGATTATATCTGCAATACAAGAATACTCGGCAATCTAGAGTTGCTGTCGTAGCTGTTGTGTTTTCCAATCTTGAAAACGCATTGTGCCAAGAGACATCGCTGTGTTAAAATCGGGAGTCGTTTTAGTTGGGTTTGTGATGACGTGGCATTGTGCAGTTCTATCATAGACAGAAAGTCGGTATAATGAGCCATGTTGAAATGTTTCGTTTAACTAGACAAATGGGATATACAGAAATTAACTATGTTTCGGTAAGCTCACGTTGGAGTAACCACGTAAAAGGAAAACTAGTTCTCCAATACAAATGATGGCGATGAAGGGGAATAAGTCATATGCAAAGTTTTGAATCGCACAGGCACTTTAAAGATGGAAGAACATCTTTTGAAGAATACTGGCCATCTGGAAAAAATTCTGTTGGCATGATCTATGCAAATATGGAACAGATTTGGAAACTTGTACATGCACATATGCATGCAACGTTCCTCATACAAAATTAACGACATTGTTAGTGTGCCGATTGATTGCCGCAGACACTCCTAACATTGGCAGTTAATTAAAATCGCAATAACAACCTTGTATTTAGCGTATATATATAAAGACACTCAATCGATTTCGAGGGCAGCTAAAGGTCCCTCTTCATCAGGAGAACGAAATTACTATAAAAGGGAAAAAGAAGAAAAATAAGGCATTGGCAAAGGAATCTCAGAAAAACGTGGTCGTTATTAGCACACACGTGGTCGTAAACGGATTTTGAATCATATTTACACTGGCCGCCTACTTCTACTGAGCCAGGCTTGTAGAGTCATTAGGTTAATTGGAAGCAGAAAAGATGAAAAATATGCAACCGCCTTCGCCGGGAATCGAACCACGGACCTCTGGAATACCGGCCCAGCGTGCTTACGTTACACCCCGAAGGCACGCTAGGAAAGTGGGAGAAATACCTTATATACTCCCCTTTTTAAAGGGCGACTAAGGTTTTAGGGGACCTAGTCGCCAAATTCTGGGCGCGGAGAATCATCATCCACAACCCTTTTAGTTCAGGCGCCACTGTAGAGACATTAGGTACATTTTTGAAAGCAGACAAGATGAAATATAGCAACCGCCTTCGCCGGGAATCGAACCACGGACCTCTGGAATACCGGCCCAGCGTGCTACCGTTACACCACGAAGGCACGCTAGGAAAGTGGGAGAAATACCTTATAGGCTATCTGATCAAACATATAAAACGTAGACTAAACAAAAGCAAACAAATCAGTGAAGTGAAAAATAGGGAGCGAGGGGCAACTGCACCTTCACGTACCAAGTCTGAACCTCGAATATAGGGAAAGCATTTAGACTTTATAATTCACCGAGCTATTGCGAAGAGCAATGTTGCCGGTTCCAGAATTAAAGCCCAAGGGCACTTGACATAAAGAAATCCGGACGTGAACCACGGACCTCTGGAAAATCTCAGATGAGAAAACGGAGAAAAAGGGAAGAAGAGAAGTACCAAAAGGAGCAAGACAATCCAATCGGACAAGTTCGCAAAACGTGACGAGCGATCATAGCTTTCAAGGAGGACACAAGACAATGCAAATCAATGACAACAATATGAGAAGATACACTACAGCAATAGTTCCAATGACAAATTCAAATGCAACTAAACAACCTCAATCAATAGTGCTAAATACAATACAACTACACAGCACAATTTTAATACAACTATTCAACGCAATACACTACAGCAACTCAACAACAACCTAAGCAACCTATTTACAACACTACTATATCAGCACAATGCGAAAAATCTCACAGCATTAGTTTTATCAATCTCCAAGAATAATATTCAAGCTACAGAAGAACTTCAATCAAAATCAAATGCGTTGGAAGTATAAACAGCTACCAATTGAGAAGCTAAGTGAAAAAGTTGTCGTCTCCTCCCATGAAGGTGTGAGCTGCATGTGGTCTGACGCTTCTATCTTCGAAGAGAATTTCATAATTAAAGACTTGGGAGTAATTAACAAAGTCACATTGCACAGTTTTGTTGAAGAATTTTTCATTAGATCTGATGTAATCTGGAATCGTCTCAAGTTTTAAGTCTCTGTGTAAAAGTTTATTGCGGATAAGATAGTGTGAATCAGTAATAATGTGCAGAAATTTGTTTTGCACTACTTGTAATTGATGCAGTTGAGTTTGAGTAACCGTGTTCCAAGCAGGAGCATCATAACAAAGTATCGGTCGAATGCAAGTGGTATATATATATGTTTTTTGGTATGCAAGCTAATATTTGAATATTTTCCAATGACCGGGAGAAATCTGCATATTATGCTCATGACTTTGCTCTTGACACTATTAGTGTGGTTAGACCATGTGAGCCTTTGGTTCAAAATATTTCGTAAGTATTTGGCCTTTGTGACCAGAGGAACAGCTTCCTGAAAAAGGTAGAGGTCTTTAAAAGCAATGTTTTTCTTAGTTTTGCTAAGAATTAAAAGTTATAGCATTGATTTTTACACGCCAATTTGTGCACCAGTCTTCTACGGCATAGAGGTAATTTTGTATTTCTATTGCATGATTAGCTTGGATGGATTTAATTGCAATCGCCATATCGTCGGCATAAAATGCTAACAGAGAGTGATTGTCCAAACCACGGTGAGGAAAATCTGATATGTAGAAAGATATAGCACTATACCGAGAATACTTCCTTATGAGACGCTGGATCTTATAGGTCTTGAATTGGATTTTTCATTTCCTTGAGCGACGAAGAAAGTGCGGTTCTGCAAAAAAGGAGAAGATCAGAAGAATGAGTTCTCTAGGAAGTCTCAAGTTGATAAGCTTGAAGACGAGCCCTTCATGCCAGGCGCGGTCAAGGGCTAAGGAAAGCAACCTCTGTAACGG